TATCTTTACTTAAATTATTCACGTAAATTGTATTTGTTTTTGTATAGAAATGAAAATAAGTTTAACTCAGCTTTTTTTTGCTGTTTATTAGATTTTATTCAAAGTTTTTCTTGCTAATCCAATATGTTAGTGATGTGTGCACATATTAGACAATATTTGAACATAAGACTTTAAATAATCTCAGAAAATGAAAGAATGCAATGCTAATATCATCCGAAAGAATTCAGAAAAGGACAAAAGTAATAAAGGTAATTCTTTTGAGGTATAAACTTATATCTTCACTTACTGAAAAGTGTAAGCACGAATTTTGCCTTCACTGTTACACTCGACCCATACAATGAGAGGAGAGAGGGTAGAATGAGACTAAGAAAGCGAAGATTCGTCTCATAGGACTAAGAGAATTTTCGATAATGAAAGTACTTTTCAAGACAATACACATATCTTTCTATTTTAGAAGACTACACACATGGGTATAATGGTGTGAAAAGATTAGACTAGAAAGACTCCATTAATCAGAAAGCTGTGATACGATTTTCTCTGTCTGCATTGTTTTATCTAGCGTGAATTGATGATCTAGAGATTTTTCATTATTCTATCGAGTCAAAGTCAGTGTATCTCTACAGTAATGTCTGCTAAATTATTTCGACAAATTACCGACGAGAAGAAGAAATATGGATTAAGTTCATTAGACGACGAAAATTTAATGACGACCAACAAAGCTTCTTCATTATCAAATGGCAAATTCTGATCGAACTTCCTGAGAATTCAAAATTCAAATCATATATGGATATTTGAAACCTACGCTCAATGTAATATTTGCCAACATATTCAAAGTTGTTTCCAAACAATGATGGCTACAGAATCAATAACGTCAATTGAAAAATATTTGACAAGGATACGGTTCTATCATCAGATGATAAGCTAATGATTCTGTTGGCTTGTTTCAGATACTGTTTGGCATGTGTTCGTTCAATAGTGTGAATCGCGATAGTTTTTGCAGCCATATGATAAGAACAGACTAAAATGAGTCAAAACTTCGACTCGACTTGATTTCGATCTATTATCAATTCATCGTCATCTATTCATCGCATGGATATGTGTAACGAAGTAGTAGCGAATAACTGACTGGTAACAAATCAGTCTTATAGGGTCCCTACCAACCAGAGGATCAAATTTATCCCAAAGATAAATTTAAAAGTGACACCAGCGAAATTAAGAAATCGCAGCTTGGACAGAATATAAGGTAAGAAAAAGCTTTACCCTCAATGACCCTAGAGCTATCTACATTGAACAAGAGTTTCTAAATCTAAATAAATAACATTTTTTTAATCAATTTTTGATACTAAATCAGAATAAAATGTTCGTGTGAAGTTTGAAAAAAAAATGAATATAATTGAAATTTGAAAACTCCTATGTAAAATAACGTGGTTGATAATTGCAAATGCTACATATTCAATCATTCGAGTTTTTTTTACGATTTTTGTTAGTCAAACACTAATCGAATTGAAATAAAAACTATAAATTCGTAACCCATTCGTCAAGCTCTGCCTAATCGTATACAAAAGATCGAAAAAAAAAATCCACTCGAATTTTGTATTCTTCACACCTTACTTATAAGTTTCCCTTTTTTGTATGTAATAAAATATCTTCGTTATACTAGTTGAAAATTTCAAAATAAACTTTTTTTCGATAATTTCTCTTTCAATCAAATTAATGTCATTCGAATGAAAGAATATATTGATCTAGTTTCTAAAACACCTCGACTGTTACTACGAATATGCCACTTTTTCAATGCGAAATAATTTGTAAATATTTTAGCTGAGCATAGGTAGAAACAAATAGAATATAATTCAAAAACTAATTTTTATCGCTAGCACTCGTCACTTCTAGCTTGTTGTTGAATAAACCGCATACAAATGAGTCTATGATAAATATTAATACTGACTTGTTTTTTCAAATGGCTATAACAAAAGAATATGCGAGAATGAACGAAAATGCTAATTAAACTGCAACATTCATCTATATTTAATTCTAAAAAAACTAGAAGTGAAAAGTCTTTTTTTGATGTCAAAGTATCCCAATTTAATTGAATCATGAACACAATCGTTAGTTTTCAGTGCAGATTCAATGCAATCTGTCACAAATCACTCATGAAGGATTAATAGGCTTATCTCACCAGTTTTATTCATGCTCTAAGAATTCTAACTACATTCTATTTGGTTTTTTCGCTAAATTTCAGCTATTAATTGAATGTTGACACAAGATGATGTCGTACTCATTTCTTGGTGATTACAATGACTACTGTGATTAGTAACATTGATTTGATAAACCTATGTTCGGTCTATTCTCTCTTAAAACTTACTTCCTTAGTTTAGAAGCAAAGTTTTGTACGATTATGCTGAAACTTAAAAAAAAAAACAACTTATTTCAAATAAAAGATTAGACCTTGAAAAACTGACGCACGTAAGCAATGGTTTGTCTGTAATTCATGTGCTGTATTTACCAGTCAAAAAAAAAAAACGAAAGTAAAAAACTGAATAACGATAGAGGAAGAACATTCTCTCTGATTGGTTCGAAATTTCTGTATGACTTCTTTAACATTTTTTTGACTCCCATGTCTGACGCACATGTTTTCACTTTTGCTGCTTGTCCTGGTGTCTCTGAGTCAAAGATTATGGCTTTCTCATTTGATTGTCTCTGCTGTTCTATTTTTCGTATTGGTTTTACATTTTCCCACTGTGTATCGTATTTTAATTAGATAACCCTTGAACTCGACATTTTACACGATAGTCTCAGAGATTTGACAGAACTCTTTTTATCATAATCGATAAGAAATATTTTAAGATTTGTATCTATTCAAGCATATTTATGAATTCGCTGACCGTAAATATCGAATAGTCAGCTCTATTTAAAAAAAAAATATTTAAAAAGAAAAAAAATACTAATTTATCAATATGTTGTGTATTTACTGTCTAATGATTCATCATTCTTGATGTTTCATAAATAATACGTAATATTGGCCAAAGGATTTTTCCAAGTTTGTATTGCTGTTTTTTTTGCCAATGGACTCCGTTATCGCATTCACAACACATAATGTGTCGCATTTTCACAGTTACAGTCTCGAAGGAGAACGAAACAAATAGGTAATACGGAGGAATAGAAAAAACAACTATTTTTTTTGTCTTACCGTGAGGTGAAGCAAAAGCATGTGAGTATTTATCGAACAAAGGAGCAGAGAAGGTCAAAGAAAGGTTTTTTTATTTTTTATTTTTAAACAGACTTTAATTACTAAACGTTTTTTGTAAGAAAGCAAATTCATTTTCATCATTACGTCTTATACAAGCTAGACGAATTATTAAACCAAATATGCGTACTAATCAAGTCTGTATTTACCAATTTTAAAAACTTGCCATTAAAATAGATTGTTGTGCTTGATTATTATAGGCTAGTTATCTAGACAATCATAGTGAATGTAAGTATTGCATATAGAACCAATTAAATTTTTCTATGTTGAAGTTTCTAGACTTAGAAAGATATTCAAGTACCCTCTTTCTATAGTCGTACAAACGAAAAGGTTGACTTTATGGAGACCTTATAGCCAGGCCCCACGCGAGGGTGATGTACAGGGGTGTACACCCCCCTCAATAATCGAACATTTTCAATTTTTCCCTGCGAAAGGTGCGAAGTTTTTTCTACATCTCACACTATCTCTACGGAATTTTTTCGAACATACTCTCTTACATCCCCCAATCGTCCGTACACCCCCGCAATTTTTGGCCCTTCGCGAGGGCCCTGTTTATAGCAAAAATTACATACTAAATTTTGCTTTTTGAAACGGGCAAAGTTTAGAACAGTTGTATTTTCAAGTTTTCTTTTCGATGGTAATCACTAGGAAGAATCTAACAACAAATTTAAGTAGCTAAAAGAAATTTCTATCAGCATATGTGAACCTATAAACTCAAATAAAACAACTTAGTTAAGGATGTCTGAAAAATCAAGATATCCTAAAACCATTTTGCTGGACGTTATTTGAAGCTTTTTCAAAACGGTTTTATCCCACCGAGTAATAAGAGCTCTCTCGACTTTCTTCATGATGTTGCTTAATTGAATTGCATTTGATTTACGGAAGACCTAAATATATTCTGATGAAAAATTTCTATGATTTCACAGTGTTTGATGCCCCTTAGAAATTGAATGGAGTTCGATGATGAGAGCCGAAATATCTCATATTGCTCTATTAAATAGAATCGTTTTCAGAAAGCTTCAAATAGATGCCAGAAAATTTATTTTGGTGATCTTGGTTTTCTAAGCATCCCAATCCGAACAGTTTTATTAGAGTTTTTAGATACAGCAATCCTGATAGAATATCTTGTCAGCTACTAAAATGTTTGTTCACATTTTTTTATAGCTATTACAATCAAGAAAAAAATTCAAAAATACAAATTTTCTAAATTTATGTTCATTGCTATATTTTTCTAGCTGCTTGTCAAGTGTAATAATTCATTGCTGTACATGAAACCATAAAATTCTGAAATATCGGAAAAAATGAAATTTTTTTTTGTATTCTCTCGCATTTTATCCAAAGTAAACTTTTGAAGAGAAAAATTGAAATTTTCTATCTAAAACTCCAACCGATCGAGCTGAAACTATTTTTGCATGGTTAATTCGATTAAATCGGAACCTAGCATATTTTTTATTTCGAAAGGGATATTGTATGAGTAAATATTCATTGATTTGACAAAATTTGCATCAATCGAAAAATACACAAAAAAACCAAGCTTTTTCCTAGATGTTCTCGAATAAATTTTGCAGCAATACTGAAAGGAAATTTTCAGGTCATTTTGAGCTGTTGTATCCTTTATATCATATAGAAGAAAGCGTTTCGAGAAGTTCGAATCTAGGACAATGTTCCTCTACTTGTCGAGATCTGTTTGCTTCGAAAACTTCACAACTTTTTATCGAACCATGAAGAATTGCTCTTAAAAATTGATAAAGAAAAAATGATGGTTTTATTTTCAGCTGATGATGAAGAACAAACATACAGAAATTCACATTCCAGCCAAAAAGTAAATATATGTTTTTTTACGTTTCAACAAATTTCAAATGAATGATTATTTTATTCTAGTCTGCACAAGCAACACTTTCTACTCAACAAGGAGTTGAAACAGGCAATAAAAAAACAATCAAATTAGTTAACTCACTTAAGGTTGAAAATAAATTCTTTTTCAAAATCCTTGGATTGGCTGCAAAGTAGATTTTGTTTTGTTTTTCTTTTTTAGAAAAGCCTAGTGACCCGATATGACACGCCTCCTACACATAGCTTTATTCGTCGCAAATTAGCAATTTTATCATTTAAGGTAAAGAATCCACATTCGATTGAAGTTGGTGATACTTATATTGATCAAACAATTGATCAAAAAATACGTTTTTTAAAACAAAATGATAAACAAACGAATGTTCCTCGTACAGATGATGTTTATATGGAATGTTTAATACGATCGAGTTTTAATGAAAATGAAGCACTTAAAATGTTACACCATAATCGACCAAATTTAGTAAATTTTATTTCAACAAATCTAAGGTTTTTTTCTGAAAAAATATTGTTTAGGTACAACCTACTGTGCAACCTGTTTCGAACCAATCAGCTAAGGTTGCAATAGATAATTCTGTGCAGCGTTTAAAACAGCATTGGAATTTATTAAATGACTATAAGAATGAAAATAATTTAGCTCAACAATTATTACGCGAAAATGATGTATGTAATAGTTTTTATTAGGCTTGGTCTTTTGATTAGCTAGTCTTTCATCACTTATTTTGAAATAGTACCATATACATCTATAGATTATTGATTAGAACAAGAAAAGATATTCAATCGAGATCTAGTAAGTCATCATGACTCAGTGACTACATTGTTCGATACGTATACACAAAGTAACATGTGCAAACCTGAGTACCATTAGCCATGAATGATCTCGAACAAATTACTAACAGACATCTATCTCGGGTTATCTGTTCGATAGCATGCTGAATATGTTGAGATATACACGTGCTCTTGTGACTAGTTAATGTGTATACGGAGCTCAAGAACTCTCCTTTATATCGGTATTCTGTCCAGAACTATAGATAGTCATGGTTGTAGGGAAGACAAGATATCGGACTACTGAATCTGCCATTCGGCAGCACTTCATATTGGAAGATAGCAGAAAGACGAACGGGGCATTCTTCCTCATCTAAGATCTAGTCACAATAGGTTTTCGTTTAATTCTAATAAATATACAAAAATCTTACTATACTTGAGTATTCTGTAACGCTATTTCTAGAAGACTGAATATTATTTGAATTTCTTGTTTCTATAATCATTTTTGTTTTTGCTTAGCAATGGAGAAATGTTCAGCATCTCATACCAGCTATTCGACAACTTCGACTGAAAAACAATGGTACAAGTACGGATGATGACTCTTTATCGGTACACTAAAAAAAAAGAAGTTCTTTATATAAATCGTTTTTTAATTGATACTGTTTTTTTAGAAAATGTATCGTTTACTCTATAGTGAATTATCGAAGGTAATTGGTCGACAAGTACCTGTTAAAATTGAAACAATTGCATCAGTTCTATGCGAATTAGACATGGAACCTATTGAAAATCTTGATATAGCTGCCATAAAAAATATTTTATGCTCGAGCAATGATTCTGAATTCTCTGATAACTTTCGAACGAATGCAATTGCTTTATTATCAATGGCATGTCCACTATGCTTCACTTCATTTCCACGAAGTCAAATGGAAACAATGTTTTTATGTGATCATAAATGTTGCTCAGCTTGTGTTAAAAATTACTATCGGGCTACTATAAGTATAATTCAAGATTATAAATCATTAAATAAATTAACATGTTTTATGGAACAGCATGAAATAACAAATGACACCGAAATGAACTTCTTTACATATTTAGAAGCAAAAGTATGTTAAAATAATTATACGTAAATATTGATATAGTATAAATTTCCTTTCAATTAGCTCAATCAATGGTTTCGTGATGAACCTAATATTCTTCAAATGTATCATGAAAAAATATTTTATGCGAAACGTGGTAAAGAAATTAAAAAATGTGGTAATTCACAAGTATGTTCTTCGATTTAATTTATTTTGTTTCATTCGTGTTGATATACTCTATTTCTTTTAGTGTGTCAGCTGTTTTTCTATTGATGACAATGATAATATTGATTGTGTTCGTTGTCCTCATTGTCAATTTGCTCAATGTAGACAATGTTGTCGAAAAGTGCGTTATGAACATTAAATTATCATTTTCAAAATGAATCAATATCTTTTTCTCTAGTGGCATCCTGATCATACCTCAATGTCATGTGATGCATATGCAGAATGGTTAATAGACAATGATCCTGACGATCCCAATGTACAAATTTTAAAATATTTAAGTAAAACTGGCATTGCATGTCCAAATCCGAATTGTCAATCGATTTATGAATAGTAAGTTGAATATTTAATAAAAAACAATTTATGTAATATATTGTTTTATTTATAGTCGGGCAGGAGGCTGTGAACATTTCACCTGTACAAAATGTCACACAGAGTTTTGTCGCATGTGTTCAACATTGTTCTATTCTCCTAAGAAAGACCCAGTAAAATGAAACATATATATACGCATATAATTAGTTATAGAAATATTTTAATGTTTAGAAATGTCCACAAGCTAATTGTACACTCAAGGCTACCATTCATGCTCATTGTACTCCTAATTGTTTTCGTGAAACTCGTATTGGTGAAATAACTGCTATTACTAAGTTACTCAAAGTTCGTATTTTTTATTTGATTATTCTTGATATTATATGGATCGCTGCCTTTTTCTAGGATCATAAAATTAATGTAACAGAAGAACTTCACAACAATCCAGTGTCAACTGATAATATATGCCCAGTAGAAGACTGCACAAACCCAACATCGTCCATCGCTGATAATCGATTTTGCGAGTTTGATATTTCGATTTATATACTTTTTTCGATTGTTGAAATTTATATTTAATAGAACCTGTTATAAACAATTCTTGTCCTCATTTGTTTGGCGTTATGAATTAGAACCTTGGTAAGTAAATTAAACATAGAATATCTATTGATAACTATGTTTTTTTTAAGGGAAATATATGAAGATAATAATCTCCGACAAATGCTTATCAAAGCATCCGTTACTATACCAGAAAACACAACAAGACAAAAATTACTAGAGGTATATACATAAATGTGTAATTGTATTTTCTTTATCATTTTCTTTTAGTTGTCTCGACAAAATTTAAATAGATTGTTAGGCAAACCAAAAAAACTAACAAAACAAAAATTTTCATAACTGATTTATACCAATATAAACAACAACAGTTAATTCAAACAGATTAGAACTTTTTATTTTATGTTATTCTGTTTTTTAATCGTTTATTCATATATTGTGATAATTTGTATAGATATCCAATAATGATTGAGGTTTTTTTCTATGAATAAATAATGTGATACAATTTTGATAGTTTTATTTTGTAAATTTTTAACACAAATTTACTTTAATTTTTTCATCTATTGATAAGAAAATGTTATGAAGAAGAAAAAAAAACGAGAGATGATTTTATAATATAAAAATCTTGCAAAACTGATTTTCTTTCGGTTTGAATACTATGTTAAAATTAAATCATGATTGAAGTTTTTTGTGAGAATCACTGCTAAATATGATATACATAGATATTCCAAAAAGAAATTATTTCTAAAATTACGTTTTAAAAGCTTTTTATTGTTATTTTTCTTTTCCGATATTTATTTGATTTTATAAGAAACTAAAAACTGCGACAAATGGCTACTGGATATGGTGATCCTACAAGTAGATACATCGGTTCATCGGCATTCGCCAAGAATGTTAGGGTAAGTTTTATTTATAGCAATATCTTTGTGAATGTAGAAGAATAAAGTAAACAAAAGGAGTGAGTATGAACACTTCTCGAAGGGAAAGTATGTATTGTATATATCAATGAGTACGAAAACTATTCAATAATGTTTATTTTCAAATTTTTTTGTGCTGTCGTAAGCGTTAGAAAGAATCCAAGTAATTATTCGAATAAAGACAATTGTTTACAAAAAGAAATAAAAATTATTTTTAGATTCTCAACGGCACGAACTTTAGAAAACCAAAAGGTTAGTTTTTCATAATCGAGAAAAAGGAAATACTATTTTTTTTTCAGACTATATAGAGCGATAGAGCAAAATCATTATCCACAAAATAAGATATCTTCGAGTTCTTTGTGACATAGTTTAACCGAGATGTAGGAGTCTTTCAAAACCTTCTAAAATCGTTTTTTCTTCAATTTATTTATAAAAAAAACTATTTTTTGACTTCTAATTGAATTGTTGTACCTCAGCTGAAAAGTGTCGCAGAGAACTCGGAGATATCTTATCTTGTAAAGAACCGTTTGCCATATCTTTTTATGTATGTGAAACGAAATTATATTTACCTATTCTGAGTGGTAAAAACCTAACTTTTTGGTTTTTTGACGTTCCTGTCTTTTGGAATTCGATAATAATTTTTATTTCCTTTTGTAAACAATATTCTCTATTTTCAATCACTATTTCTATTCTTTTTAGCATTTACGGCAGTGGAAAAAAATTGGGCATAAATTTTGTTGAATAATTTTGATGTCCACTGTATATAATAAGATGATAACAATAGCAAAAGTCACAAACATATATGACAGGACAAGACTAATCCATCTATACGTACAGAAGACATATATACTTCATATTTGAGATCGATGGGATTTCTCCGAGAAATTTCTCCAAGAAACAACTTCTATTTTACTTGTACACATTTCATATACACTAATATGGGAACGAAGGAAGAACTCCTTCGTAACTTTTCATGTGATTAGTAATTCATATCAATTGATCTTGAACAATATCGAAGTTTTGTATTGTCTGACGTTTTTCAATAACGAGATGATACCTGGTCAGGAATTGATAAGTTTGATATTTTCTTCAGTGTGTTCTCCAGATTTTCTCTTTCGGAGAGGCATCACAACTTTTGGAGAAACGCCGCTCCTACGGTCCTCATGCTCGATACAATACCGCACAACTGAAAAGCTTTTCAATTCGTATAAGACTGATACTATCGATAAAAAAGACAAAGCGAGCTAGAATTTTGAGTTTTTATAGTAAACACCATATTTTTAGGCTTCTTAACATGTAGATATTTTCATGGTTACATGGAGCTAGTAGTTAGCATTTCTTTCACAGCAGAAGAAAATCTGTTCTAATATTCCGTAATGAAAGATAAACTGACAATTATGAGCTATTCAGAGTTTTTGATAGTCGATTAAAATTAACTCTAAAAAATGATTTCGAAATTTCGAGATAGAAAATCTGTAGTCTAGATCAAGCTTTACTTTTGATGACTTGCTAATTCTGCACGACTATAATAAATTCATCCAGCATGATTCGAGGTCCTTGTCATATAATGCAAAAGCATGAGCTCAATACTCAGAGCTGAAACTTTTCTGATAAATAGAAATTTTTCAATCAAAGATTTTCAGGCATACTAGCTTCAATATCTTACAAACTGATAAAAATACTTGCCGATCTGGTTTCCAGTATGGCACATGTACAAAATAGAACAGGAAAAAAAGACCGATGCACGACGTATTTAAGTTGGTAGAAAAAAGATAATATGTGCTGTTTTCACACATGGCCAAAAAGTCCTGAACAAATATTAGTCGTAATCATCATTCGTCATCACCTTTAAGAAATTCTTATTGAGTAATTATTATGAAAAATATTTATATATGACCATAAAACAGGAATTCAATTCAAAGAAACACGGCTTAGAATTTCTCATTTTCCTTGTTGTTCTTTTCTCTATGGTTAATAAAGTCTAATAAAAATTCTTCATAGGATAAACAGCATTCAACTGATCCTGATGATATGACACTTAAAGTAGTTGATGAACTTAAGGTAATATTTGACATTACAAATCATTTTATCGTTAATATAATCGATTTTATTCATCTAGGATATTGTTCGAAAGAAAGTCAGACAAGGTTACGCAATAACTCAACCAATTGTTGAGTTAGAAGTTGCCAAGATCAGACATGACAATGACCCTAATCAACATGATATCGAAGAATTGAAGGCGCAACTTCCACGTAATCTTCAAAATTGTTCTGATAGTATTTTACGTGTATCAATGGCATATGGAAATGATCCAGAACAAATAAAACCCATAATACAATCGAAAATGAATAGCATAAATTCGAATGATAATATTGATAACATTTCACTCGATAATATTATAGAACCTTTAAAAATGCTCAAAAAAGATTTGGAAAGAAACCCTCTAAAAAATATATTCAATGCAGTTCGCAACATCAATGAACACAATAGTGATGTAAGTTTCTTATTTCAAATTTTCATTCATACATATAATCTTTTAAAAGACTAAATTCAAGATGAATTCATTCTTTAGAACTTTATTTTTATAGTACGATAATATTTGTTGATTATTTTATTTATATTTTTCCTTTTTTTTGAATTAAACAGATGTAAATATTTTGTTTCTAGCGTGCCGATCGTTTATTTCTCAGTGAAGTTCTTCATTTCACACCTGCTATACGAGACTATAAATTTGACGATGCTCATCAAGCAGTAGAAGCTATTCGCACTACAACATATGAATCAGAAAGACCAGAAGATCTTCTTTCTATTGTCAAAACACTTCGAGAAACTGACGAAATTCGTCAAGCTCTAAACGATATGTCAAAAAAATCAATGAGACACGTGAGTTGAAAATAATTTTAAATTTCTAGGTCGAACAATCAGACTGTGAAATCTTATAAATACACTAACGAGAGAAGCCTACTAACTGATTATTTTTTTTTTAATCGAGACTATTTACATCGTGTAGATTCTAATGAACTATGAATATCCTGAAAAGAGTTCACGTTTTTAACGTATTACTGTAAACATAGTGTAGCAACACGATAGTTTTTGACTGAACGCAATAATCGTTGTCAGAAAAACCAAGAATAGTTTATCATAGCAGTTTCGGATCTTTTGATTTGTTCCTATCTTGAAATAAGACTATTGAATTTGCCAGCGTATATAAGCAATATAAAAGACACACTTCTATCATAGCTGTATCTTAGGATAGGAACAATAAAAATATCTGAAATTTCCACAACAAACTATTGTTATTAAGATTTATCTCTATGCAGAACTCAGGTCAGAAAATCGCACTGTAATATCAATGACAGACTCTGATGCATTTGTATCAGATCTTATTTCAAGGTCATACAATAGATCCTGATCTCAAAAATCTTACCATAAGCTACGTATAACAGTTGACAATATCATGTTACATGGTCATAGAAGATTGCACTGTTGAATTTCACTATATATTCTCACTTTGTTAAAATAATTCACATGTCTTTAGAGCTTTGTTCAATGATAGTAACGGCAGCATCTAGTTCAAGTTTAACATACGATGAGTATGCATAGATAGCCATTATTGAAATTCATGGTACATTAGTTCATGTCGGCGTACACTTATACCTACACCTTTGTACCTACAATCTTAAACTCGTGCTCTTAAATCTATACTTCAATAGCTATTCCCTTGGATCTATACTAGTATACCTGCATTCTTTAACTCATATTCTCCTCGTTAGAACTGTTTTCTCCACTATTAAAACAGTTTTCGTTCTGTTTTCACCAGCACTATTGTATTTATATTCTCAATTCAACGCCTTTTATGACTGCTGTTCACAACAGAGTTTTGAACTGAAATTATGTCTATGAGTACGTTCAAGTGTCCTGAAAAGTTCAACGATAACAAGCATGCCTTTCTTAATATTCAATACCTAAAAACGTTACCGTTTACAATGAAACGACACAATAATCAAGTGTGCCAGGTAATTGTATATCGCGAGAAAGACATGTTCGGTTTCGTTGAAACTTTCAGAACTGTCAAATGTACCTTTAGACATAATTTTAACTTGAAACTCTTTGTTTTGGTTTTTCCCAAATTGTGTAACTCTCAGTAAAAAATTGATTAAAACGATCAAAACTTTTCAATAGTAATCTTAGTATCACCGAGATCTATGTGTAACTTTGATGCGAAGTCGAACGACGTCCAACAATTGAAAATGTTCCTTCTTTAGAAGATCTTACGTCTAATTTTTTGACCTAGATTACTAAAAATTATTTTTAGAAAGTACCATCAACAGCAACATCAAAATTGTCTGATGATGATGACCATAATTCAAGTGTCACTACTAGAATGTATGACCGAAAGCGATTCAATGAGAATCAAAATCCATCGGTTCCGTACAGCTCTGTGCCCGGCTCTCATCAAAATTCTCCTTCGTATCCAAGTAAAAAGATTTACATGGTTTTTATTCAATAATACAAACTATTATATATTATTCCTATCATTTAGATCGTCCATTAAACAGAATTTTCGACAGATCGGCTGACAATCGAAATCAAGCTACTCATCATGGTTCTTTTCCTAACCTTCAAGAAGAATTTCTCTCACATCCAGGTAACAAGACCTAACTTCCGCCTCAACACTCATACAATAGCAGATCCTATTTCTTTTATTATAAATTTCTATACATAAAGGGTCGAATATCGTGATTAGATTTTAGCTGGTTCACTATGATTACGTTTCGAATACAAATAAAAAGAACTACAATTAAATTTTACTTTCTCATATATTGATAATACACTGAGCTGTTCCATTATGTTGTTTAATAGGTGAGAGTTCTTAGCTTGCTTTCTCTTCTTTACTTTCGTAAATTTTATTTTCTACTAAACACAATTGAGTCATAATCCAAGGAAAGAAAAAGATTTAAATCAAGAGTTTTATGGAATTCGCACATATTTTCAAAGAAAATAGTGAATATAAGTTTTAAGTCGAAGTTTTGAGACTCTGCACATTTTGAAAACCAACGCATCCTGTGTCCGTATTGTAGTGAATTTTCAATTATCAAATGTGTATTCGAACGGTACATCAAAGATCTAAAAAATTACATACGATTCAGATTTTTAGATTTCGTTAATCAGGAATCATAGATATTAGTGTGAAAATTCTCGATGGATTTTTCAAGGAATTGTTTGAACAAGATCATATTTTTGCTTTTATCTTATTTGAAAAGAGGCCATTTTTTCTTTACAAATTTGATTAGAAAAAATTCAGAAAATATCTTAAAAGACACCTTAATATATGATTCAACACGAACTCATCTTCTTTTTTCAATAGCGAAAATCGCACCGCTCTATCTTATTTCTATCAAAATTTATTCGAAAAATATCCACCCATCTTTTTTTTGTAAAATAGAAATTAGAACATTGCAAAGCATTCGTTGAAGTATTGATGGCTAGAATATGCCGATGAATGTTCTAAATGATGAAGTTTCTGAGTCTTACGCAGATAAACATTTTTATTCAAGATATCAAGGATCATAAGCAGTGCCGCACTCATTTGCCACAGTCGGCGTACGATCAACATAAAAAGTGTGTATTGATCAAGTTATAACTTTGAATAATAATCAATGTCAGTGTTTGTGAGCTGATCAAGATATATTATAGTATGTTGAGGAGTGATGTACAGGTCCAAATTTTATATTCCGGTAAAGTTTCATTTTTGATTCCGAGCTCCGTATGTTTCTGGTGTTGAGACCTGCTATAGATAAAATGGATACATACAACGGGGTTGTTTGCGCGTTAAATCAATGGTTAGAATAATAATCATATTAAATTAAGAAAAAAGAAATACGCGAATGAAAATCAACAAGGTAAACACAGGAGATTCGTCAATGAAAAGAGAAACATTTTCTGTTCACAAGACAAATCATTCGTATGGTGATCAATTATCTTTGGAAATCTGCTAGTCTGCTAGAGATTTATCACTCTTATATATTTGCATTAGTATAATGAGGCTACAAAGAACACAAGTGAGTTTCATATTTCAGTCGCAAATAGGTTGTGTTGACAAGTTTTTGTTTTACAAGACCCAGACTTTCTAATATGTGAAAGATTTCCATGCTTTTTATTCAATAATATTAACCAATATATATTATTTTTATTATTTAGATCGCCAATTGCACACGTCTGCTGATCAATCAAGAGATAGATTCAATGACAGTAAATATCAAAATAAAATTTAATTTATCAACAACAATTTTTATATATATTTATTATTAGATTCCACACGTCGTGATAGCGGAAAAAAATAACTATTAATTTTTTTCTGATAGAAAGAGTCTTTTTTTTTTAAATTTAATTTTTCTTTTTTATTTCTTGTTTTTTTGAAAGTTCAAATCCTAAATATTAGTCACGATGTGATGGATTAAAGAAAATTACAGCTACATGAAAAAATATAAAAGCAATTAATATCCATAATGAATACATAGAATACGAACAAAAAAATTGACTAACTATTGCTAATAAAATCAAAATGCTTCGATTATATTTTAAAAAAGTTAATTTTATAATCTGAATTCCTTGTACTTGTGATTGATTAAATCTAAATCGAAGATAGAATGTTAATATACAACAAATAGCTGAGAAAAATGATGGATCCGACATCATTGTATATAATGGATAAGGACCTTGCATTAAAATACTTCCTATATGAACAATAAAACCAGTTACATTAAGAATAACAAGAAGACCATGAAATAATAGTAATGTTGTTAAAACTTCTCGTAAACGTCCATTGATTGTTCCACGCCACATTATATGTAATAAAGCTATTAAAAATAATGTTATATGACCTTGTGAACCACTAAATACTATTGTTGAAAATAGCGGTATTAATAACATAAACCCTTGAAATAAACGAACATATTTTAAATGTTGATTTAAATCATTGTGTACACAAATAAATAGTGGATATATTAAACTACGAATAAAATCTAATATTAAATAATCAATTATAAATGAAATTATAGCCCATAGACTTAGTGCAAGAAAATAAATAATTAATGGTAAAAAGAAAAAATAATAACCATTTGAATGAATATTCACAACAAAATCTAATGATGGAAATAAATTTATCATTACTTTATAAAGTATTGTTATACATATGGCTATTGGTATATGTATTTGCCATGCAAGCATTGTTTGATATGTACGAAGTGCAACATCATTCACTTGAAGTGAATATGATATACATAGAACAGTAAATAGAAATGTTGGTAATAAATATATATAATAACGTGTTAATTGAGCTAATATATCAAGAAATGAATAAGTTATTTGAAGATTATATGAAGAATTTGAATCAAGAAAAAGTTCAACTGAAGGATATTCATCAGTAGTTAATAGAGGTGGTCGATGTAGCTTTAAACGTATTTGACGATAAAGAGATTTTGAAAGAACTGTTGATGGAGATGAAGGATTACGTAATGTAATTAAATTATATAGATCTTCATTTGACCATGGAACATGAAAATGAATTAATGGCATTTGTTGACTATTTGATGATAAATAAATATTATAGACTTGCCAAAGATGAATAAGTGTTGGAAAAACAAGTTTTACGTAACCTGCTTTATGGAAAGATAATGTTTGTGAACCGAACCTTTCAAAAAGACAAAAAAACTTAGAAATGGAAATGATTCATTGATAAATAAAACTTTCGAAAGTATATTATGAACTGTCTGATTTTTATTTCATTTTGTATTTTAAATATATTAATTAAGTATATTTCAATCGAATCGCCCTATACATCTTAAGAGTTACATTAGACTCGAAGTTTCTTTTTTACAATTTTACAATTGAAATATAGACTGCGAAGGAATTAACAATAATAGACATTCAATTTGAGGTCCCCGTAATGAACTGAAAAAGTTAGTTTAACTAAAACTGGAGAGACTTTCTGAAGACAAGTTGTACAATTCATTTTCAGAATATAAAGTGTTCCAATGTTGTTTGAATAACTTCGGAAAGAAACATCATAGAGATCTGCGGTTTTCACCACTCAAGAGAGAAAACGCAGAACAACCGAAATTTGATTGAGTAGCAATTGGCCAGTCTAGTGAGTTCTTAGAAGAGATTTTCAAAAACAATATTCTAAAGTTATTTTTCTTTCAATCTGTGCCAAGTCAACATTGTTAACTTGTTCTATTGGAGAATGATAAAGTGTTTCCTAAGACTCCTAATTTTCGCCAATTGATCGACGATCACCTGCGCAAGCAGCTAGACAAAGATAATTCACCATACTGAGTCGAATGGTGATATTTACTGTTGAGGTTTGAAATGCTAAGATAACTCGTCTCAGAGTTTATATTAGTCTTGAAGTATCTTAAAGGAACATCGAGAGTATATATGAGAAGAACGTTTCTGAAAAATCGAAAATTGTAGTTTACAGGTCCCGTATGCCTTTATGAGAAATAGTTTTGAAACGTATGGTATTGAAGAGCACACAAATCGGAGTAAAATGAGGGTCATTGGATTTTCTGTACGCTTATCTTAACAAGTTATAAGCATCACAAAGCGATATTTATTATTGCATGGTTAAACAACGTATGTTTTTATTTTTTATCATGCTTACAACTTTCTTACGGAAAGGTCGTTGGAAACACGGCAACTCGTCATTTAACTCATGATTTTATGATCTCTAATATGATACTCTTAAAAAATAATCTTCAGAAAACCTTTTGGAACTTGAAAACTACTGTTTTTGGTTTTCCAGAAACGTTTCTCTGATAATCCATCTATGAAATTTTGAAAAGGTATGTATTTAATATAGAGCTTTATTGGCTATCCAAATCACTAGTTAGATTTGAGTTAAATGCTTGATATAGTAAAAAAAATTTATACTTATGCACTTGAATATTTATTACTTTTAAAGAAACAATCTCGTTAGCCTTACATATATAAAAGATAAGGATTTCTTTTTTAGGATTTTGCACTAAAAAAAGAATATGGATGTACTCATATGAGATATTTTCATGACGTTTAGACTTGGTTCAAATCAATATGACTTACGTTGAGAGTTCAACTATTTGTTCATTATTTTCGATTTGATATATATCAACTTGTGATTTTTTATTTTCAAGTCGAATAACAATCGAATCGTATTGTTTTAGGCTATTATCTAATTTTTTAATATCAAATTGAATCATTTTACGATTACTATAAGTTGGTGGAATAGGTATAAGAATATTGGTTATATCCGTAATGAGATCATTATTTTTTAAATAAATTCGAGTATGTGTTAAATGAATAATAATTTGATGAAATTTTGAATCTTTTAATGGAATTAAATAATCATTATGTTCTTTGCCATGAATTGATCTAATCGATTCTGTGATTATAATAGGTTCTTTTTGAAAATTTAACGTTGTATTTAATCCAAGATTAAAATCAACAGATGGAGAAAAATGTTGTTTAAGTATCTAAAACAAAAATAATAAACGATTAAATATCAATTCAAAATTTTGCAACAAAAATAACCTGCATAATTGCTTGAGGATTTTGTTTTTTCTCTTGAATAATTTCAAGTAATGCACGTGTTGTTGTTAATACTAATTGTCGACACCAAACAATACAACGATGATCAGTTGATGTCCATACATGTGGTACAGCACTTGTTAATACATCAATCGATCGACTTTCATCAGTAAGACCATTTAATGAACATAGATCACTTCGTACAAGATGATCTCTATACAAAGAATTATTTATGATTTATTTAATATTAGCCAAAAAGTATTTTAGATCTTAAAGATGATAGCTTGTTACAACTCGAATATTGATATGTATAAATGATTTAAACTGTTTTAATAGGTCAGACATGTGCGTTACACATTTAAAAAAAAGGAGGCAAAGGCGACCGCGCCTAACAGTAATCGAAAAAGGATTTTTTTCACTAAGCCTTCCCTCATATTTGTTGCTCTATAATATTGCTTAAAAAAAATAGAGATGTAACCGAAACATATATATCTTTCTAGGGTATTCGTTTTTTTTCTAATTTGTTTTGTAGTACAATTTGAACTTTAAGAAATGAGATAATATAACAAATCATATCTCAGAAAGAATGAGCCTGTCAATGAAATGATTTTTTTTCCTTAACTTTTCAGTGCTTAATATACATTCTTTTTTTTAAGCTTCCTACTATAATAGTAGAGTTAAACAACTGGTATAGATAAAGTGCGACTGCACTACAACAAGTCATGCTTCCCGTTAGGACACGAATCGTCTGCGCGTGCGAGAGGTGCACATCTCTGGCATACTTCACTACTGAGATATAACTTGAGAGTGTGGATAAGAGATGTTGACGGCTAAATTCATTTGATTCAACACACTGGACTAATACTCGGATTGGATATCTGACGGGCTACAGACTAGATATTTTTAAGTGTACCCGCATGTTCAATCCGTTGACAAATATTGCTTATCGTCTTTCATTCTTTCGTTCTTTATATATTTATGTTCGCTATGCATACTTTTCTTCATCTCTCCACCGCTCTAGACCACTCATACAAAACTGAGTTATTAGTTTGTTTAATGTAATAGAAAGAAATGAAAGACATGTAATCTATTTACGTTTTGATTTTTTTGCGCATTTATCGTCATTTTTATCATAGTTAAAGTTTTATCTTCTATATTAATATTTTATATATAAGCATACACTATTATTTTTATTTAATTATGTTTTATCCTGAATTTTAATTGAAATTTTGTAAATATGTTCAGAAATAAAAGATGATATTCTAGTTATAAAAATCTTAGTTTCACAAATAATTAAAAACTAACGAATTTGTAATTAAATATACTATGAATAAGATTTGAATTAACCTGTAATGGCTTCATGATCTTTCAACTCGTAAAATAGCTCGCGAGTCGAAGACAAAAAATTTAGTCAACAGCTAAAGACGAACCAAGTTGAGTCTCGAACGGTACACAATTATCCACAGAGAATTTCAATTCATAACAATCTATTGCTTCTAAGATTAAAAACAATATTCGATCAAGTCACGTTTAACCCAAACTAATTATTTCAAAAATAAAATTAAAAAAAAAATTTACCTATCACCACCAGCTAATGATACAAGAACAAGATGTTTAAGTGAATTATTCCATTCATTTTTCCAATATTCATTAACACGAGAATAGAAATGAACAACATAACTATCTGAATGGATAACAGGTGCTTGATGAGGTGTTGCTTGTGTTATAATAAGACGAACTGTATTTGGATTAAATCGACTCAATGGTTGTAAGAAAACAGCACCTGTATATATATATACTCATAAATAAATAAAATATTATTTTTCTTCTAAATTTAATATATCTTACGTGAAAGAAGACCACCAATAGAATTTCCTACAAGAATAATTGTTCTATTTATTTTATACAGAGATAAAATTTTTTGAATTGAATAAGCAACAAATTCAGTTTGTTGTTCTAAAACACCACCAAATAAAGCTGAAAGTTCTTCATTAAAATCAATTGAAAAAAAATCTAATTGTTTTTGTTGATCACCCATTCGATAAGCAACTGAACCAAGTGAACGAACTTGACGATAACTATCTGCATTACCAACAATAAATAATACAGGAAAACCTTTAAAAAAAATAGAGAAAAATATTTTTCGAAAATAAAAGAAAAAGAAAATTGTGTTTTATACCCGTAAAACGATTTCGTCGATGAGCTTCACATCGACTACCTTCGCAATAAGAATAAAGTCCATAACGACGATAACGCTTTTCAACATCTGCTGGTAATGGTATTCGATGATAAGTTGGATTTTCAAACATATATGTCATTTCTGAACAAAGATTATTAGAATTTCCTTTTTTTATCGTTTACATTAAAAATTTATTTACCACAATAATTTGATTCATGTCGATATAAATAACCATAAAGTCCCAGAAGAAATAAACCGATAATAATTAAGAAGACAAGATTTTGAAACATTTGTATGATTGTACGAAAAGACATTTTAAAAATGAAAAAACGGTAAATATCGCAGTTTATATTATATCTAAAACCTTAATCAATATCTACGCATGAACGATCATAAAATTTGTCCGTGTATATCTGAATGTGCATCTAACCTAGAAGAGATGAATCATCAATGTCATTGAATTCAGCCATACACTTTTGAAGGCGCTATATGCTGGTGAATAATTATTGAAATTTGTAATATAATGATTAAGTTTAATTTATTTGAAATTTACTGATTCATATCAATTTATAATATGAAGATTATTAATTCAGATATGTTTGAAAAATCTTAGCATATTGAATTATGCAGAAATCATTCTTGTTTTAATTCAATATCCAGTATTGCATTTAGATAGCTTTTTATTCTTGACACTTTCTTATTTCTTTATCTTGATAATTGATATCCTCAATTTTTGTTGATAGTAACCTTTGTAAAGATCAACCATCTGACAAGATTATCGGCGTAAGCATCATGTCTTACATTACTCTCAGTTTACTTTTCTGTTAATTATTCAAACAAAGATATGTAATAGTATTATCGAAAGAAAAATCTTTATTCTCCACATTTACTTTGATTATTTGTTCTCACTATGTCCATGAGATGATATGACTTTATAATTATCAGACAAATGGATAAATTAACTGAATTTATATTTATAAATGGCAACAGATGCGTCGTGCTGCTTTCTAATGACAAATTAGGTCTACCATACTGTGCCTATTAGATGACAAACTACTGAAGTGCTTCTAAGTTGATATATAAACAATAAACTCATATATAAAAATCTTGAATTTAAACATAAAAATAAAAGGAAAGGAAAAAGTATTTGAACAACTGACAGAATTATAAGCGACTCCATTATTGAATCAATTAAATAGAGTAAATTGATAAGAAACATACATATTGACAGAGAGTATAATATCTATAAATTTTTTTAATAGTATTTATATTAAACCTTCAACACCTTAACAACGACCACTCTGCCTAAGAAAAAAACATCATAGTTACAAATTGTTCGCAAAAAAAAATCATTTTATATTTTCTTTAGAAATATGAATTATACTTTCAATAAGATTTAACAATCTTTTTCTATTTATGCATGTCGTTTTATCAGAATAAAATATTGCATAAGTACTTTTTAAACGTAAAGGTGATCGGGTTTTTTTTTCTGCTCTCATGTGATCATTTGTATGATGATTCAACCTTGTTTCAAGTTATTTTTTATTATTATAGTCGATTTTGTGTTTTGTATTTGTTCTTGACATGTAGGTACGAACAAGAAATATGTTGACAGTTGTGATCAAAATTTAAAATGAGTTTTTCATAAAAGTTAACTTGAGCATTGTAAAAAAAAGAACATTCAAATATAAAGTATGTGTATTCGAATAATATTAACAAACTTTTTATTTTATGTTATGCATTGAATATTTTTTCTTTTGATATGTTATTAAAATATAATTTGTAGATTGAACAATTTAGTTCAATTTATTATCATAGAAAAATTTCTATTATGTGCATTTTTTTTCTTCGATGATGAATTCTTAGGTTTTTTTTCTTTCTAATTATTTAGATTAAAATGGTTGAATCTTCGCCTTTAGTAGATCCAGTAGCTGTAAAAACTTCATCCGAACCAATACCTAATAAATCTCAAGGTTCTTTTACAGATCATTTAGCTAATGAACGTACATTTTTAGCATGGATAAGAACTGGTCTTGGTATATTTGCATTTGGTTGTGCTATTGCAAAATTTGGTGGATCGGATAATATACAAAAAACATTTAAAAATTCATTTCATGAAATGAAACCAATTATATCTGGTTTAGTTTTAGTTGCTGCTGGTATTTTAATATTATTTTATAGTATTTATCGATATTATCGAATTAATCGACAAATAATACGAAGAGACTTAAGTGAAGTTTCACAAATACGTGAACCAATTATTGCTACATTAGTTTTACTTTTATGTATGTTTGCTATTCTAATTATTTTTGTTATTTTATAAGCATCGAATAGGATTTTTTAGTTTTTTAATATGATAATTGATAGAATTAAAAAAGATTTTGAATTTATATCATTAATCGATGGTATCTTATGATAGAATATTTAAAAACCTGTCGTAATAATTTATTTAATTGCAAATATTTGTTTATATTTACATGTTGTTTTTGAACATGTTTCAGGAATTAGAACATCCGGCTAAATTTAATCAGAGTCATACACTATTTTTGAAGTATGATTGTTTTAACGTTTGATTAAATCTTTTCTTTTCAAATATTTTTACACAATTTTATTTTTCTTTACTAAACTACCTTCAAATAATAAGTTCATCTATCATAATCAAAATCACTACAAAAAATAAAAATAAAACTATGACATACATATTTATTATAAAAGAAAAACGAATTATGAAAATGAACATATACAATGAACTAAACTTACTAATATATTTTATACTTATTCTTTGAATATGTGTACGATTATCAATATAAAATATTAGCTGCCTGTGTCTTGAGATTCAGTATGAAGTTCATTTTTATTTCCTTAACTGGTTTTTCTCGCTACATTTAAACTACAATATTGTTGCACTACAAGGCATACTAGCCCTGTTGCAATTACAATGCATGTTCTTCGTCTATTCTCTTTGATGAATCCATGTTTTCTATCCAGAAAAAGAGAAAAAAAAGGAGCAAGCATGCATTGTTGAAGTAATTCTATAAAAGATGTATTCTATTCTTGTTATTTTTTGTTTGTTTTGCGTAAGTGGTCCAGAAATAATCATTGAAACCAATATATAACATGATGAAAAGAAAACCTACTACAAAGTGCTAATGATCAGAAACGGCTACATTGTTTTCATCGATTGAAGGTATCCAGACGTGTATGTAAATAAATAATATCGTTTTCTGTAATTAAGTCATTCATTAGTAAATTAAGAATACTGATCTGTGATAGATAAATACAAAAAAAAATTGATAAACTTACTATTTAGTTGAAAATAATTAGCTTAATTCTATGATTTACCTCATTTGTCAGAATTTCTGACTATATTTAAACTAAAGAGCAAAGAAATAAAACAACTATTATATTACTTCTTCTTTTTTTTTCTTTTGACATCAATAGTTAAAAAAGAATTCTTTACTTGCCCATTTCCTTTTCAATTTTTCATCAACACATAATTAGGGAGTGGAGCATGCATACGCTTATATGATCAACAAAACAACACGTCACTCTATCTTTATAGGATATATATATATATACATCTTTTCCTGTGAAAATAAAAAAAAAAAATTTTAACGGATATTTATCTCTATATTCTTTCATAGAATTTCTAAAATACTACCGAGAAAAAAAAAGAAAGAAAAAAGAAAAGTCTATGTTTTATAGCAAGATGATTGTGGTTTGTTTGCTCCTTCTTTTCATCTAGTTCTTTTCATTATTTAAATGTTAGACAATAGCTGAGACCTGGGTAAGTATATGACAATGTATTCTAATGATTACTTCAATATAATAATCTGTATAGAATAATAGTAATGTTGTGTATTATATAAATATATGTATATATAATTTGAACAAGAGTAGATTAGTTTGCAAAATCTCTACGTGCATATGACAAAAAAAAAGCAAAGAAAAATAAAATTAGAAAAATCCTCATGTGTTATATTTACTGATCATGCCATAATTTTTTCTTCTCGGTATTGTTAATAGAAAAAAGAAACTAGGCAAACAAGAGTCATGTGAACTAGGAAACAAAATATGAGAGAGATTTACGTTTATTTGAACAATCTATGATTTGAGAATAGAATATGGGATATAAAACTAATTGAATTTAACGGTTCAAATAGCTATTCTATGTATGGTGTGATGTGTTACATCATGAGCAATGACGCTGTTGAGTACTGCTTGAAGAAGTATTGCGACAAGATGATCGTTTTTATAAGGAAAGAAGAGAAAGCGAGTAGATTCACGCACATCTATAAAGAGTGATAGTGTCACTTCTTCTTTTTGTCCTTAAGCTGATATTGGATTTCATAATACGACATGCACTTTGCTTCAATAGTACTTGCTTTCATGAGTGAATTGATTGAATTAATCAAGCGCAAGAGTTTTCTTTTGTCATACGATAATCTACAAAGGTTAACATAATCTACGTCATTTTTGTCTATTTATTCTATAAAGAGAATGACAAAGGTCTATAAAATATATTTAAACAAGTTATCCTTTTTGGCTGTAGATATCACGAAACCAATCATAATCAAAATGAGTGTATGGTTAAAAAAAAATGAACATTTGTCTTATCCTTATTATTATTTTATTAATAACTGGATGCTCATCATTGATTAATGCAAGAAATTCTTTTAATAATAGTACATTAATTATGTTATCATTAACTACTATTCAATCATCAACATTATTCATAAATCAATATGCAAAATCTCATTCATCTGAAAATCTTTTTGGTTCAACATTACGTTTAACAAATGATTCAATTAAAAATAATATAAATTTATCAACGAATAAATTTCAAAGCTTTGATAATTCTTTGGAATATAATATCATGAAAGATGGATCGAGTAAGTACATACAAAAAAGACAAATGAGATAAGAGTAAAAACAAAAAAAAAAAGATAAATCTGATAATTATTCTTTTTTTTTAGCTTTAACAAAAACACAAATAAAAGTTATTTTAACTGTTGTAATCATAATTAGTTTTATTATGTTCATTATGGTTATATTTCGATTTAAGTAAGTAATTTGATATTTATTTGAATGAACATATCGATAGACGCGTGTCTCTTTCGATTTTGTCCACATGTTACTTATTATGATTTGATTCGATCCTCATTGAAAAAGCTAAGAAGTTATTGTCATTTAAATTGTGATGATCGTCGAGACATCAATTTATTTATTGAACAAATAAAACATCTTGAATTGACGATATTTGTATCGAGTTACTTATTTTTGCAAAAATAAGATGGATATACATAAGAAAAAATTGTCGCCTACTATATTTACTAATTTGTAAGTGTTATTTATTTTTTTAATAATCATTAAAAAAAAAGGATTTTTAAAATTGATATAGATTGTTAAGAAAAGAAGTAGATGAAGAACGGTAGAATGAAAATTAGAATAGAATTGTTGACACATGAATATTTTCTTTTATTTTTACATTTTCTATTAATGATAAAATAAAAAGCATTTTTTTTTGTTCCATCTAACTGCTTGTTAAGAATTTTTTGTTTTCCATCAATAAAATTTCTTTTATGATAGTAAATAATAAGTTTTGATATTTTTTCCAGGTTTTTATTATTATTAAAAAATAATTTTACAAAGATTATTCAATTGAATCTACAGGTTTTCTTCAATATGAAATATTTAAAATCTATGTTTAAAATGAGTTTCATTACATGAGTGAAGTTATTTTTATAATTCACATGAAAAGAATATAATTTTATTCTTTTAAAGAAAATCTTAATTTTTCTTTGATGAAAATAATCGACTATTTGTAATTATTTCTTTTTTGCAATCGTTTATTTAAAAGAACTGTAAGTAAAAATATAAATATCTTTTTTTCTTCGATATGATGAAGAAGAAATTTATTTTCTATATATATATTAGATACTTAAAAGAAAAAAAAACAATGCTTTCGAAGTTATAACAATGATTTATTGTGTAATTTTTATAGTTTTCTACAGTAATATTTATCTTGTCATTGCACTGAACGTGTCATTTAAATTAATATAACATATGATATATCTTATTCAAATATTTATAGTTAAAATAAAATCATTTTCTTGATTGAAATATTATTGAAAAATAAATATGAATGTATTTATCCTGAACAAAATCTAAAAAATTTTCAGTCTAATGTATCTTATTATGAGAATAGAAGTAAGATCTTCCATTAGCTTTTCTAAAGAAAAATTAAATTATAGTCTTCCTTGGCATCTTAATGGAAAGTTAAGAGATTAATGAAGCCGAAATGTTAAAAGTTAATGAGTACGCATAGCATGTGTCTTCAAAGTAAAGTTTGTAAGACAATAAATAATTCTATTTCTTTTACGAACCAAACATAATTTTGTCTTACTAAATAGATAAGAATTTCTTTCACTATATGATTATTATTATTATTTTTATTATTATTAATGTTGGACTGTAGATAAGAATAAAGTAGAAATATCAACAATATTTCTCTGTTGCTATTGAATTGACGACTAGATGCCAATATTAGATTAGACACTGAAAGCAATGAAAAGAACGAAATTAATTTTTTTTTCTCCATGGTCAGAGCTGAAATAATCGAAAATGTGATCATTCTTTCAGTCATGAATTATGTAAAATATTTCGCCGCTTGCAAAAATTCTACTTCAGGTGTTTGATCATGTCCTCTTAATTTGCAACAATTCTTAATACAATATCAAGTAGTTCCTGCCGTCTTGTTATTATATTAATAAGGAAACCATCCAAACTGACAGCCACCATTTCAGCTAATAATGGGCCTACAAGGACGTGTTAATGAAGCTAACAGAAGGTTAAAACAATTGATTCTCATAGGCTTTTGAAACCAAAGTATGATTGCTTTGCTGAGTGTACGTTCTGAACAACCAAAGAGCAAAGTTTAAATGTAAAATTTCGCTTATAGAAAGATCTAATGATTTATAGAATATTCTGAAAATTTCAAACCAAAAATAATATTCTTTTGTCAAGTTATTGAGTTTTCAAATAAACAGGATTTTTGTAATATGCTTATAGCAAACGACTATCGTTTGAAACTTCGGTACATCTCAATAAGAGGATTTTCTTTTCGGCTAAAGTTTTTAGGTTTATTTACTGATCCTTCAACCTGTTTCTGGGCGATATTTCAAGACGAAATAGTGAAGTACATTTAGAATTTGCGATTTATTGGATATGATAAAACTTTTGGGACATTTTTTATTGTTTTGTGTATAACTCTAATCAAGAACAGGATAAAATGTTGATCTTTTTTTATTCGCAAGATGTACCATAGAATATTCTACTCGAATAACAAAGCAAAATATTTATAGCTATTTTCAAAATGTTAATTGGCTGCTAACACTGAACACATGTTTTATCCCACAAGAAAAACTCGAAAAAATTTATTTTATGATTGACAACTAAGGTCATTTTTAATACTATTTCTTTCAATAATTAAAGAAGTTTAATCTGGTAACTTGTTCATTGAATGCACTGTTTTTTTGGACGACATGTTTGAGAACAACACAATAAAAAACTTTTTATTCTAAAGAAAACCACCCAAATCCATTAATACAGGTGTTACTTTTTACTTGTATTTGAGGTGAGGGTGAGTTATAATCATCATACATTTAAGGCTACACCTAGTCTCTGATTAGTTCCATACATTATAGTCAAAATGAATGAAGAAAAATTGACAATGCTCAGTATTCTTGTATATTTCCCTGTAGGAAATAACAAGATACCACAATAGTTCAAGGTTAACAATCTATTAGCTTTGAAAATAGCCATAAAGATTCGATCTGCTGATCAAATTAGAACATTCTATGGCGAATTTTCGAAAAAATAGGATTAACGTTTTATCATGTTCCTGAACAAAATTACATGTACAACTTTTACCACAGCCAGTATACCTAAAACTGGATCTAAAATTTAAGAAAAAGGATCATAACTTACCTTTCAAGACTCATGAAGACAAATTCTTTTAAAATTCTGCTAGTCTCATCAAGACGTTCTTATAGAGCAAATATAAGTGCAAATGGTGGCTAATGATTCTAGTGGTTTCCCCGTACAATTCATTTTGTCTTTAAAATCCATCTAAATTGTAGGTCACCACATTTGTAGTAAGTAATATATATACATATATACATATGACTAACAATCAAACATTATATAATCATAAAACTTCCTGCGTGGAAGTAAAAAGAGATTCTCAGCTTTATGGTAGAATAGATTCTCATTATTGAGATCTTTTGGTAAGAAATTCAACAATAAAAACCTGATCTGCAAAACAGATAAACTAACAATGTTGATAAATGTTTCTTTCTGTATTTTTTCTTGTTTACCATCATTAGATGTATGAATATATGTATATATATGCGTTATATTGTTCGATGATAGATTCATGCTATCTTCTATGAAATGTTGTCTTTCTTGAAGAAAGAATGTTATCAATGCAATTTTAGTCTTTATTATAATATGCTAATCCAGTCAGACATAATAAAGACAATGATTCGTCTTGCATCTTTTTTCTTTCTGTTTTTTTATTCTTTTCTACATTTATTATTGCGTACATTCAAGAAACAAAAAAGAAATGAGATCGATTTTCTTTTAAGCTTTCTTTTTATGTGTGTGTGTATGTGTGTGTTTGTTCATTCCTTCAAAGACAAATTCTTTCTATCATTTGATAAAATAGAAAATAAATTTTCTTTGTTCCATTAACATGTTCCCTGAACGATGCGAGCATTGTCTATTCATTAATAAAATTATCGTTTATGGTCAATATGTTTGCCCATATTCTATTTAGTTTTTTTTTTCTTGATTTCTTATTCTAGAAACGCATGTCGCGATCAAGAAATACACAATATACAGACAGAAATCATTCGACAGAGTGCTCGACAATATAGTGAACCAAGTTCAAGACGAGGAAGTATTGGAGTAAGTATTATGAAAGAAAAAAATATATATAAAAAAAAAAAAGAAATAAGTGCTCAAGGTCAATTTATGTGCAAACAGCTGTGACATACATAACGATTCAATAAGAAGAGAAAAAAAGGAAAGAAAGACCTAAATGCATACAACTTGTTCTGTCTTTGATGCCCGAGAGCTGTCAATAACATCAAGAGCTGTCGCTTTCATCGTAGAAAAAAAAAGCAATGAAGAAGACATCGATCTAGACTTACCAACGATATTATAGAACTACTAGAACAAATATCAAAAACATATAAAAAAATTATTAGAGACGGAAAGACAGAAAAAAAAATGAAAGGAATAGAAAGAGCAACGAGCATCAGAAGGCGGCGAATTGGGGATCCTTACACGATATATGTGTGCATGTGTCAAAAAAAAAGAAATAGAAAATGTCTAGCATATTGTTCAATGAGTAGATACCTCTTTGGTCTAGTGCGCATTCAATTCTTTTCCTTTCTTGTTCTTCTTTCTTTCCGCTCTTTTTTCGTAAATCAAGAATAAAAACAGAGACGTGTCTGTTTATCAATGCTGATTATTATTTATTGGCTTTTGTATGATGAGCAGTAAGTATTATTAGTAAGAAGCGTCAACTCTCTAAAACGCATTATTTCTTCCGTCATCGCTTATTATTGTGTATATGTGCGAGTATGCGTATATGCATCTTGTCTTATGTTGATGCTGTCCTACGTTAGTCGATAAATTCTCGTCGTTCTATTCCCTATCTCGTCTTTATCATCATCATAATCATCATCATCATCAATAGCAATAGTATCGTCGTTCGACAGAAAAAGCTTCACTATCATCACTCGTTAGAAGCAAGCATTCTAAATATAAAGTAATAAACCGGTCTCAAGGAACATACTTCCGCTGCTTTTATATCTATTCTCATAATCAAGTGCTCTACGCCCATATTTAAGAGATAGAAAAGAGAAAGAGAAAGATTCACTAAGTAGTCTATACCTTCAGAATATTATAATGTAAGTATATACATCTGTAACGTAACGAATGATATTATTGATGATAATAATAAATAGCAGGTATTTCGAAAAAGAAAAACGAAGAAGAATTTGCAAGATAATTTATTATTTCTATTTCCTTTCAAGTATATACTTATTAAGTAAACTAATATGAAAAGAAATATTTTTCTATTACATCATTGGTCTTAAGACATATAATTATATATATATATATGGTCTGAGTTTTTTCTCATTTACTATCTTAGAAATAACTATTGCAGAAAAGGATAGAATTATCATTGTTTAGTTAGAAGACAAAAAAAAATGTCGGTGAACTATTGATATAAATAGAGTAAACAAAAGTACAAAAAAATAAATGTATATCAATCGATCATCATATTGACGAGTGATGATGTGTATATATTTTGTTTCGTGAGAAGAAAAATAAAATTGCCAGTTGGATCATTCATAATACTTTCATTTGATGCCTGAAGCCAAAAAGGAAACTTCTCTTGTCATAAATATATATTTTTTAATATATGCATATCAATCATCATGATCGGTTTAGTGGAATAAGATGATGAATAAAGAAAAAAAAGGAAAGAAACTAAAGTCAGGACACTCGATATACTCATACTCATATCGACCTTGAAAGAAAGAACATCACGGAAATTTAACATGTTCCGTTCCGGATTTGCGTGACATGATGCATATACTAGCATCATCACTTGTCTTTCTTTTGCGTGTATATTCCAATATAAGAAGCAAGATCGACAGCAGCATGCATGTTTCCCATCATTTGTCTAGATTGAGCTTTTCTGTGTTTCTTTCTTTATATGTCTATTCCTCTATATGTCACATCACTATAACAAAGAACGGAACAAGACAAAAAGTTGTTCTCTCATCACAATAATATCGTGAACAATTGTCATACGTTGCGATAATGATGAATGCATCCTGTTAAATTGTAAGCGATAAGTGTTGTAATCATTAAAAATATTTTGTATTTAACACAGCAAGGTACCAAAATATTTTCTTTTCCTCTTTCCTTTTTTCTTTCTTTTATTTTATATGGTTCAATGCATCCTATTCTTTTCTTGTAACAAGTAAGCTAGTATTACGTTGTCATCATTCATTCAATCGTAATGAGAGGAAAAAGCAGGAAGAATAAAGAGTGAAAGAGAACAAGAACGATGTACGACATTAGTATAGGTTGACTTCTAAATTGCTTTATGTTTATGTCCTTCAGGCTTTCTAAAGAATTGTTTGGCGTATATACCAGCAAACTGACTAATAGTCAATTTTCTTTCATTTCTTCTATAGACGATTCTCATATGATTAGAAATAAAGCTAAATAGGAGTAAATCAATTTTTTATCTTTAGTGCATATTCAGAACATTGATAGAATGAACGTGTACCGTTGATGATGATGATGATGATATGTTAGTTGTGCAATCAGCTGCATAACTGGATTGATATGTGTATTTCTCAGTTGGTTATATATAAGATATATGAGCATTGGGACGTTCTATTACTTAAGAAAGAAAAAGGAAAAGAGAATATAGACTTCCCTATTCACCTACATATTTGCTTTCCTTAACTAAATGTATTAGTTGGAAGAAAGTCATAGATGGTGAGTGTATTTGCATATGCATACAATAATTTGATTTCGATTATTTTGAATCTTTTTCTTTTTATTCTCTGGAACTCATTTTAGTATTATACACGTAAATATTCTCACACACCTGGCATTCGTTTTGAAGAACACTTAAATAATTCATCATCTACAAAACGATTTAGTGTTCCTACTTGTAATCACTCATCGAAACAAATAGCTAATGCTATTGTATCATCTTTACCAGTTGAGTCATTAGCAACAAAAACAACAACAACAACTACTGCTCATCATCATCATGTCACATCTTCATGCAAGACATCAAATCATATTAATAATTCATACGTATCTATTGCTATAAAACCATTTGTACGCAAATCGTGTTCTACTATTGGAATAAGTCGGGTAGGTTCTGTTTTTTTCTTTCTTTATTTATTTTTGATTTCTACAAATGATAAGAGCCGCCATCTTAAAAAGAAAATAAGATAAGCATCAGTCTATACAAATGTCACAAGCAATTACAAATCAATCAGTTGTCTATGCACATAGGCATACACTTGTTTATCTTACTCTATATAAAACCATCATAATCGTTTTTACTTGTGTGTACGTGCTGGTACTGGTAGCCTTTATGCAAGCATAGGCACATATATCCTCACAGAATATCTATAATTGATAAGATGGGCAAGATAAATGATCATCAACATAATCATATATATTGCAAAAACAGAAGTATCTTTTTCTTTTATGATTGCTTTAAGCGTTACCATATTTATCTCTATATACATATAATCAGGTGACAGGTAGAATATCGTTCGATGTTGATTATAAATTTTTGTCATTTCTTGCAAGACCAAACAATTTTTCTATTTACAGAACTCTTCACATAAGAATTCATCAATATTTCATTACCAGCTTGTTCATAGAGTGCTCTTTTTCGGCTAGCATCGACCGATTAAGCAAATGTCGGGACTGTCAATCTTTATAGAACATATAACTAGGCAAAGATGAACGCAAATAAGAACATTTTCTATGATGTTTATCGACACACGTTTTGTATATATATATATATATAAATGCATATATACTTCTATGTATGCTGTATTGATGAATAAATGCCAAGAAAGTCCGTTCACCGTTATTTGTTAGTATGTGTTTAACACATAGATATACACAGAATAACGACATCAATTCGTCTAGAGACGAAAATCAATTTCCTGTGCGTGCATGCAAGAAAGCAAGTAGTTATACGCAAACTCGTTTATGTGCACTCTCATAAAGATGAAAATGCGCGGTAGTGGCAACAAACACATATAAAAGAAAAAAAAGAAACATAAAAAAAAAGAAGAAAGTCATTTTGACACCAATTCTTGTTCTATTTCTTCTTTTCTGACAAGTTATCAAATTCGATTTAGTAGCTAAATATATGTTCCAACTATAATAAAGATATTATATTGAAATAATCAAATAGATTTGCAAGCAATGTGACTATTTTTTTTCAAGATCTTTTCGTCTTGTTCTTGACATAGACAGATCAGATTTGTTTTAAGAGAATCAACTGTCAGTTGCCAAAGCTATATATCCATCAATGACAACATAAAAAGCACCAACGTATAGAAAGGATTTAGTGTTACTGTCGTTGCCATCGCATAGTTGTAGATAACATTAACACAGATGCATGCATGCGCTCTGTGTCATCACCGACAGTGTGTGCTCAGGCAGGCTTATGATTTCGTTAATGCAAATTGAATCTATCTGCTATTCCTACTACTACTACTACCAATACGAGTGCTATTACAAATAGAAAGAACGACGAGTCGTTTTTGATGATGATGATGATGCGTATGAGCGATGTCTAGGCGGCCAGTAAGTCAGCAAACTCGAAGAAAATGAAGATGAAGAATAAGAAAGAGAAGAAGAAGGGAGGGAACATGCTTTTCTCTTGTTTGAGCTCCTTCTTTCTCTCGTTCGCTCGCAGTTAATGTTGCTGTTTCTATGCTCGCTCACTCTACCAACCAGCAGAAACAAATATCATAAATAGAACAGAGAATACCATGAGAGCGTAAAGGACGAGAAAAGATTCTTGCTGTCATGTTAATGAAAAAGAATGCGAACACAAAAAAAGAATGTCGTTCGACGAGCCGAATAGAAAACAGTTGAACGTTGTCGAGTCAATTGACATGTTTGGATTGTGTGCACATCGTCATTGATGTGATCATTTTTAAGATAAACTACCTGGCATTATACGTGTATTCTTTTCTTCTTTAACAATTCTTTCTATTCATTGTCAATCACGTCGTTTGATCCTCTGCACGGTTCCACCACATATATTGTGTCGTCCAAATACAGTTCGTTATTCACTTGTTTTTCACGTGCATGATCAACGACAACGACGACATACAACATCAAATAGGTATATCAAAGTGTCGTCACCAGCACTTCGTAAATTTTGTTTGCCTTGTATAACTACACGAAATCATCATCGTCATTCTCATCATCATCATCATTCTCATCATAATAATCGTCAACAATCAAATAGAAATAAGACATTAAAAAATAATCAACAACAAATTATTACTACTCCTGCTGCTATTATTACATCTGAGAGCAACATCATCGAATCATCACAACGATTCGAAGTGGCTCCAAGGACAAATCATACAATATCAACAACGCCGGTGGTGCACAGTAGTGAATATTTACAAGAAAACGATGCTAATCATCTTCATGAGCAACATCAGAATTTTGAGACTTCTCTTCAGAATATAAAACTAGAGAAAAAAGATGATGAGATATCAGTGGAAGCGGAAATAACACCGACAAAAGTAGTTTCAGAATCCATATTACTGACATTATCATCACCTGGAAATGAAATAACGAGATCAAACGAAGATGATATGGTAGGTACTTGTATAAATACAGGTCGATTAATTTCAAAGTAATAATAAAAAAAAGAATGATCATCTTATTCATCTTCTTCATTTTTTTCTTCGTCTTCTTCTTTTCCTTTTTTTTGATTCATCTCTTTCCTCTTTTTCTAGTGTGATGATCAAACGCCACTGTTAACATCGGAACTTGCTTCTAATATTAAGGATTCAACGGACCGTAATACTCGTAAATATTCGCTCAATGCTCTTTTACCCCTTGCACGTTCTCCAAATTCACATCCGCTTTCTTCCTCATCGACAGTTACAACTGCCATTGACAGTCAAAATGCCGGTGATGATAATAAAAATCGTAATCGTTTCGATTTGAAATCTCGTCGTCGAATTTCACTATCATCGGCACTTCGTCGTAGTTCATTTGCTAAACAATCACAAACAGTTAATTCAATAATTGATTCAACGAATCAAAATCAACTAACAATCTCACCATCTCATATTTCTCTTCCAACTTCTAATAATAATAATAATAATAATAATCATTATCAATCAAGTACAGCTGATTCAGATAGTAGTGATCGAACATCATTATTAAAAGCTAAAACATTGATTTCTAAAAATCAATTAAAGAAAAAGTCTTCGAGTATAACGCCAATAAAATCATCTTCAATTTCATCTTATCGGAAAGATTTCATGCAAAAAATTGAACGTTTTCGCTTCATTGATGATAGTGCTTCGAGCACAACAACAGTGACGTCACCTGTAGAAAGTATTGATCGTATGAATGGTCATCGACCATGTAGTCATCTGATAACGAGTGCTATTGAACAATTTGATGATTACGTTCGTTCAAAATACGATAACAATGATGATATTAATTCATATATTGATCGTCTAGATTCTGATATGTTAAAAAATGGTACTTATTCAGATTTGAATATACTCAGTAGTACCAATAATAATATAAGTAAACAAAAGTTACAAACAATTCAACAACAACAACAACACACAGTATTTAAACCGGTGAAAAATATATCATCTGAATTGGAAACAGTAAGTCTATTAATTTTCTATTAGAATATATCTATTCTGTTTTTTTCAAAAGAAAATAGAAAATTTTCTTTTGTATCAATATAAAATATTATATCCGAGATTTGTTCATGTATTATTAAAATAAGTTCCGCTCTAAATATATTAAATTCTTTTGACTATCTAGAAAGAAAAAAAAAGACTATTAATATAGATGAA